GGTTGGTCGCCCAACTGTCTCTGTATGAGGCAGCGAATCACGCCCAGGGCCTGCATTCTTTGGAAAGGCCCGGAGGGCCGTGGAAATGTCTTTGTCGCTCGGCCTGTGTTTCTTTCAACCAACTGGCGCGTCGCAACTGCCTGGACCCCAAATATGAATTGACAGTCGAGGGCCTCTTGCAAAAAGCCAGGCCCGCCTTCACTTAGGGCGGGTAATGCTGCAAACAGGGCCCCATAGGCCTACCGAGGACCCTGATCCTTGCAAATTAATAATCAATAAATTTTAATTAATGATTAATAACGAATTAATAGTCTCTTAATAATAATCAATAAAGTTAATCAATAATTGCAATAATGATTAATAACGAATTTTAAATTGTGGCAAGATTAACTTCCTGGAAGTTGCAGTTCTGGGGTAACGATTTCAAACAGGCTGCTACTGAAAAATTTTCGGATAGTTAGAAAGATAACCTCGAAAATTGCAAAAAATGTGAAATTTTGGGAATTTCAACCTAACAAGTCCGATTTTCAGAAGGCCGAAAGTCCGTATTCGGAAATTCACAATCAGGGAAAAGACAAAAAATTCATGAAAATTTCGGATTCCAACCCTAATTTTCTGCGATTTTTGTGGAATTTCTGGTTGTACGGTTCCAAAAACATGCGAATTTCCCAATTTGAACGAAAAACCGAAATTTTATCGGAACCCTAATTCCAATACCGAAATAAAACAGAATACCGATTTAAAACAGAATACCGAAAAACAGAATGCCGAATTAAAACAGAATACTGAGTTGAAATCAGAATGCGAAATTAAAACAGATTACCGATTTAAACAGAATACCGAATTATAATCAGAATACCGGATTAAAATAGAATATCGGATTCAACAGAATACCAATTAAATGGAATACCGGATTAAACAGAATACCAGATTAAAGCAGAATCCCGAATTGAAAATCGGAATACCGAATTGAAATGGAATGCCGAATTAAAACAGAATACGGAAAAAAAAAAATTTGCAACTTTGAATCTTGATAGTAATGCGGAACTGATTTGGAAAATCAAATGAGCAATCTATTCCGTAATCAGAATTATTTTGTGAGCAAATCCATTGATTGGTCTGCTCCGATACCAAAACTGTTGCATACTCGTGAATACTTCAACAAGTGTGGGCAGAACCAAAGATCAACCAATATAGGATGAGCATGTGTGCGGCGGAAGTCTGATAAATGGACTGACTCACATAGACTGAACTCATGCAGATATCACTAAATACACAAACAATCGTGAGATGGTGGGGTCTGAGCCAATCATAGACGATGCTCAGGCGTCGTACAACCATGCACAGATGAAAGGTGGTAGGAGAGACGGAGGTGGGAGATGTAGGCAGCGCCAGATGTCACCGAGATAGAATCCAGTAGGTCACTGATATGGTAGTCCAAAATGTCATCGAACAAGATCAAAATGTCGTGGACAATAAGTCACCAATGTCGGAGGTACAGAGTCCTAATGTAACCGGTGTCCAATCTGTGATGTCGCCGAGTATCAATCCCAACAATCTCCAAGTCTCGAATCCGGTAAGTACCACAGCCTCTTACCACCGAAGTCCAACACTGATCTCTGTCCAACTCGTATCAAGTCTCCAATCTGAAGAAGAAGAAGAAGAAGAAGAAGAAGAAGAAGTCTGAAGAGAAAGAAGAAGAAGTCTGAAGAAGAAGAAGTCTGAAGAAGAAGAAGAAGAAGTCTGAAGAAGAAGAAGAAGATGGAGATGGAGAAGAGAGGTAGAGGTGGGAAGCGGAGGAGGGCCGCAGGCCTAAACTGCAGGTAACAAGCTGGCGCCTTGGCAGTGGAGGGAGATCTGCTGCAGGTCGCGGGAGCTATGGCACTCCACGGTCGCAGGTAAGTCCCCTCGCTCGTCCTTGCTTCTCCTGGTCCGCAGTGCGCTAAACTAGCGCTGCGGATCCTAGCGCTGTGCCTCCTGAGAAAAGCGCTGCGCTCCTCTGGCTGCTACTCGTTCCAACCTTCCGAGAATGGCCGCTGGACCGGCCTAAGTACCGTCCGGCGGCCGGTCGGCCTTGATGCTGGCCTCCTGCGCCGTGGGCTGCACCGGCGAAATGGCCGTTCAGCCCAGACCGGCGGGCGGCAGCCTCAAGAGCGCCGCCAGGCCCAAACTGTTTGTCGTTTGGGCCAGACCTGGGTCTGCTGGCGCTGAGGCCCAACCGGTGGCCTAATAGGGCCTACCGGGAGGAAAAAGGCCTGGCCTTTGGCAAGGCCGGCCTGGGTCCCCCTGAACCGGTGTGTCGGGCCTGTGGAGGCCCGTGTGAAGTCGCAGACTGTAACACCAACAGTCTGCGGGTGTACCAGCTGAGCTAGGCCCTGTGGCTGATCCCACAGGCCTGTTTCCAACTGTCTGCAGGTGTACCAGCTGAGCTAGGCCCAGTGGCTGATCCCACGGGCCTGTTTCCAACAGTCTGCGGGTGTACCAGTTGAGCTAGGCCCAGCGGCACTGATCCTGCAGTACTGCTCACACTCGAAGCTCTCACAGCAAAACGTCGTTGGTGGATGGTGCACCCGCAGGTGCTGGTCCCGCCACTCAGGTTCCTTCCTCTTTGTGGGCTACGCACCCACTGCTCACATGCATGTTGAATTTTCCTCGGACCGTGCTTTCAATGGCTAGGCGCTGGGTGCCAGAGAGGGAGGAGATAATTTTCCTCGGACCGTGCTTTCAATGTGGCTAGGCGCTGGTGTGCCAGAAGAAAGGTCCCTCCTTGCACACACACATGGGGGAAGATACCACAGACGAGAGATGGGGGGAGGCGAGACGAAGATGGAGGCGAGGGAGAAGACCAAGATCGCTATAGCGAAGTCAAAAAAATTGTCCCTGGCTGAGTGTCCAATCAATGTCCACCGCAAAAGAAAAGGTTGAATCAGATCCTGGGCGAATGCCTGTGAAACCTCTGCCCGAAGTCTCTCTCTCTCTCTCTCTCTATCTCTCTCTCTCTGAAAGAAGAAGAAGAAGGAAGAAGAAGAGGTGGAGGGCGAGAACAGACGAAAGAGGAAAAAGATGATATCGCCCTCCTCACTGTCTCACCTGCAGGTAACTGCTGCCAAGTACTGACATCGCCGGCGTACGCTGTGTTGCAGGTCGCTGAAGCCAAGTCCAGCTATGGCGCCCAGGTACGTGCTTGAATGCTGCAGGTATGGCCTCTGCTCTATCTTCTGCCTACTCCAGTAATCCTAACGCAGCGCAGCGCTATCGGTGTGGTGCTGGTCCAGCAGCGTAGCGCCCAAGAAGTGAGCTACTCGAACTGTCCGTTACGCAGCCTCTGCCCAGCTATCTGTAGCGCTGGGCGAGGCTGGACCTACCTGGTGCTGGCCTCAAAACGGCCCAGCCGGTCTGGGTCCCTACCGGACGTCCAGACTGTGCTGCTGATGCAGCAGGGCGCCAAAAAACGCGCCTGGCGTTTTTGTAGGCCCTGCCTCCGGTACCCAGTCCCAAGGTCATGCTTTGGGGACTGCAAGTCCGAAACGACACCTGCACAGTCAACGACGGTTCAGCAGGTAAGTAAATAAATAAATAAATAAATGCTCCCTATATTTGCCGTATGTGGCCTGGGGGCCACCGTGGGCCTCCAGGGCGTATGTCTGATGGGCATGTGGCCTGGGGGCCCCTCAGCAACCGTCGGGCCCCTCAGCAACCGTTGGGCCCCTCAATGGGGCCCGTGTGCAGGCGCAGCATGTAACAACGACTCTGCCCAATGCAGAGTCAAAATCCCAGTGCCACAGATCTCTCTCTCTCTCTCTCTCTCTCTCTCTCCCCCCCCCCCGCTTTTCTCATAGTCTGATAAGAAGGTAGAGCGCTGGAGGGGAGAGGAGAAGGTGGTGGACTTGAGGAGCAAGAAGAATCTCTCTCTCTCTCTCTCTCTCTCTCTCTCTCTCTCTTGCTCGTAACAGGTACTGACCTGCGAAAGGTGGCACCTTGATCCAGGTGCGGACGTGCTGAAGACGAAGCTGGAGCAAAACCATCGCAGGTAGGTCTCAGGTAAGTCCCCTGGCCTCCATCACCATCTCTCCCCTCTGCGCTGCTCTAACCCTATCAGCGCCCAGCACTGGAAGACTACCTTCTGCCCCCGAATACAACGGGCGGTCATTATAGTTGTATTGAGACTAAAAGATGCGTCAAATACAACTTTAATGACTGTAGGTTGTATTCGGGGGAAGAAGGTAGTCCTATTGTCGACTACTGCCATACTGATGTCGTCCTGAAGAATGCCTCTACTCAATCCTCTACCAAATGCCGGAGTGAGGCTGGGCCCAGCTATATATAGTGCTGGGTCGGCCTCAGCGGCTGAGTCTGAGCCTCAACTGCCCAAGTGCCTGCTGAAACGGCACAGCCTCTGGGTCAGGGTCTGGCACCCAAAATGTGTGTCAGGGCCTGAATCCGAAACGAGGCCTAGAGGGCCTCTAACTGGTACCGGTCAGCCTAACCTGCAGACCCTACAGGCCCTAATGCAGGCCAAAACGACACAGACCTAACTCTTCTAACCCCTAGCCTACGTGGCTGGGCCCTGCTGGGCCCTTGTTGAACTGAGTATGCCACACAGCTACAGACCTATTGGACCGTCCAAACAACAAACATCTACGGCCAAACAGTCAAGCTCTGCCTACATGCATGTTGCATACTCGTGGAACATAGTCATAAGTATGGCGCAGATTCCCAGAACCGACCAGATAATACGGAGCTGATACAAATGCAAGCGGAAGACTTGGACGGACTCGGACCTGACTCGGACTGCAATCGAACACTCTCAAACATTCATCAGGGGTGTGAATGCCCTGGCCTCAGACATAGACGAAGGGCCAGGGACTGAGATCATCCACGGACGAAGGGAGAGAGGAGAGAGACGAAGGAGGAGGAGAGGGAAGATGACGTCAACTCAATGTTTCCAAAGATAGTATCTTGAACTGTCAGAAGTGACGAAAATCCGAAATGTCGCGAATGCCAAGGTTCACAATATCTCAGATATCGATCTCACAATGTCAAGTACATCTTCAGAAGGAAGATGAAATCAGCTCCCAAGTAGTCCTCAACTCTAGTCTCAATGTCGCTGTCTCAGATGTCATCATAACTCGTAACCATCTCCCATACTCCAAGTAGTCCTGTAGGAGAAGTTGAAATAGACTGAGAAGGTAGGAGGAGAGAGAGAGAGAGAGAGAGAGAGAAGGCGAAACCTTCCTCCCTTGTACCTGGCTATGGAGCTGCAAGGGGGCTGGGCCGGTAACTGGCGAGGCGCCCAGTGCTGCGCTAAACCGCTCTCCGCTGAACCTTGCTCTCTCGCTGCTCCTCGCTGCTGCAGCGCTGCGCTAATCGAGCTAACGCTGGGCTGCTGCGCTAATCCTGAAGACTAACCTCGTCCATACTAACCTCCCTAGTGAGGCTGGTACCCAGCCTTTTGTAGTGCTGGGCCGGCCTCCTACCCGCTGGTACCTACCGGCCTGGACCGTTGATCTCGATTGACGGTCCAATTTCAAAACTGGTTGGCGCCCAAAACTGTGGCAGCCTCTGCAGCACCGCCGGTAGGTCCTAGGCCGGACCGGTACCGGCCTTGTGGCGGTTTGGCCTGGGCCTGCCTGAACCGTCATGGTCCAGGCCCATCTGGGCCTCATCTGAACCGTCGTCCCTTAGGCTTACCCTGCCTGTCTGGAACTGGGCCCTAACTGGGGCCCGTGTGGCTCAGGATGCCACACACTCCCCCCCTTGAAGACCGAGCTAACTGCGAGGGCGAAGCTGTCTGTCCGATGTCCGTACGGGGCGGGCAGGTTGGGCAGCTTCCTTAGCAACTCGCTGTTTTTCATAATGTGCGAAGATGAGGGGTGCTGTCACCTTCAGATCAGCTCTTGAAATCCAGCGTGTGTCGTTCGGATCGCATTGCTTAAATGTAACTTTGTACTGTATAGGCTTGTTGCCATGCTTGCGATGTGTGAAAACACGGTCGACCTCGTGATGGCCATCCATTGAAGCAGGGTCCTGTGACCGTCTGCTCGGGAAGTGCGCTGCGGAGGCTGGAGTGTAGACCACCAACTTTGAAGCGTGAAATATCGGGTGGACCGTCAAGTGCGGGGGAGTCTCAATGATGAAAGATGGACCCGCGGGGTCGTCGCCAACTGCTGAAGTGACCATCCATGGTCCAGATCACTTAGGGAGGAGCTTGCACGAGACGTCCTGCTCGAGCGCGAATTCCTCGGAGGCGACCCAAACTAGGTCGCCGGCGCGAATTGGACATGGGATGCGACGCCGGTTCGCTTGCTGCTGCATACGGACTTGAGCCTTCTGCATGTTTGCGCGGGCTTTGGCCAGCAGTTCCCTGTACTTCCGTGTAGAAGCGGGGGAGCAAGCGGCGTCGATATCGGCAGCCCGTGGAAGCAAAATGTCTGCAAAGATACGTCCTTTCCGTCCACCACGGTGCAACTCGAATGGAGTTACGCCAATCGTCGGGTGCACCGAAGTGTTGTAGGCGAACTCGATGTCAGGAAGGTGGTCAACACAGTCCTTTTGATCCGGGCGGATGAGTGTGCGGAGCATCATCTGCGCAGTTTGGTGCACACGTTCCGTTTGCCCATCCGTTTGAGGATGCCATGCGGAGCTCGGTTTCATGCTGGTGCCGGATTCCACCATGAGTGTTGTCCAAAAGGCCGACATGAAACGAGTGTCGCGGTCGTTGACGATGTCTTCCGAAACGCGGTGGCTGCAAAACCAGCCGGTATGCAAGAGTCGTGCGAGCTCGGGAGCCGTCGTATGATACTTGCATGGAAGAAATCGAGCGTACTCAAACGGCCAACGATCGTGAGAATACCATCATGACCAAGGCGATCGCGAGGGAAGGGACCGGTCACATCCATAGCGATGGAGAGACCCGGTGCCCGAGGAATCGACAATGGTTTCAGCTCGTCGTACGGGAGCTGATGGCACCCTTTGTTCCGGTGACAAACTGCACGTGATTGAATATACCGGTTGACGTCGCCGATGATGTCCGACCAGTGGAATCGCTGGCAGAGTCGTGCTAGTGTGCGTGCGACGCCAAGGTGTTCCGCCAACCGCGAATCATGGTATTCGCCAAGGAGGCGAGTGCACAGGATGCGGTCTTGGTGAACACACAACAAGTCCTTGCCTCGTGTATGAAGAAGCAAGTAGCCGTCGACAATGCAATAGTTGCTTGCCGGCGGTTGATCCGATGATGAGTCCGCATAGAGTGTGGAGAATCCCGAATCCGACTTGTAGCCATTTACGAAGTGCCGTTGCAGGTTCTCGTCGAGGCCGAATGTGGAGTGCACCAAGGCGCAAAGATCAGGTCCTCGCGAGAGTGTATCCACTGCCATGTTCGAGGAACCCGGAATGTGCTTGGAGGTGAAGTCGAACTGGTCAATGAAGTACATCCATCGACCAATCGTGCTGCTCACCGTGTCTTGCGTCTTGTAATACGTCAATGGATTGTTGTCCGTTGCCCACGTGAATCGCCGACGCCCGAGGAAAAAGTGACGCCAACGCTTAAGTACGGTGACAAAAGCTAGGAGTTCCTTCTTCCTCGCATCATCAAGAGTGTTGATGGGCGGCATCTTTTGGCTGAAGTACTCAACCGGATGCCAGTCTGTGCTGTCATGCTGTTCCAAAACCGCGCCAATGCCATAACCGGAAGCGTCCGTAGTCACTTTGGTAGGCAAGGTCGGGTCATAGATGCTTAAGACGGGAGCTTGAAGCAAAGCCGTCTTCAGCGTGTGAAATGCATGTCGGGCTTCGTCGCTGAACTCGAAGGGCACCAAGGGGGACTGAAGTCGCGTCAATGGTGCAGCGATGCGTTGAAATCCTTTGACGAAGCGCATGTAGTATGATGCCAAGCCGAGAAAGGAGCAGACGTCGGTGGTACACTTGAGGTCCGGCCAATCTTGAATGGCTTGTACATTGTCCGCGAGCAGACGAATGCCTTGCGGCGTAACGTAATGGCCTAAGTACTCCAGCTCTTGCTGGGCAAACTCGCACTTGTCGCGGTTCGCCTTGTACTTGGCGATAGCGGGCCGCTCCAATACGGCGCGAAGGTGCTCGAGGTGCTCGTCCAGCGTTCAGCTGTAAACCAAGATATCATCGAGGTAAATGAGTACAGTGCGGTCGAGCAAGTCACGGAATTTCGTCGTCATGGCCGCTTGGAAATTAGCCGGGGCATTGGTGAGACCAAAAGGTCAAGCTTTGGTGAGTCGCGGAATTCCTCGCACTCAAAGTGCCCATATCGCGTCTTGAACGCGGTTTTGTACCGGTCTCTTGGCTGGATCTCGATCTGGTGATATGCGGACTTTAGGTCAAGCTTTGAGAAGTACTTGGCGCCGCCTAGTCGCTCGAGAAGATCATCGATTCGAGGGAGGGGGCCAGGGTTCTTGATCGTTTGCGCGTTAAGTTTTCGATAATCGATGCACAAACGAAGGTCCTTGTTCCTCTTCCAGACGAAGAGAACGGGAGCACCGTATGGCGAATAGCTAGGGCGAATCCAGCCCTTGGCCAAGAGGTCGTCTAGTTGTGCCGGAAGCACTTGAAGTTCCTCTTCGCTCATGCGGTAGATACATCCGCGTGGAGGTATGACACAGAGTGATCCAGTGGCGTATGGGCCGATCTGGTACGACTCCGGCGGGAGCTTGGAAGACATCCTCATAGCTGTCCAACAGCTCAACGATGCGTGGGTCCGACATATCCGTCTTGGGCTGATCACCGGGTGGGAGGGCGTGAAAAAAACATATGCCCATCTCCTTGATGTCGTTTCGGCGGATGGATTGGCGAATGCTCGCCGCGGATACCACGTGACAACCAATTGAAGGATGAGGAAGCGGCACCGTACACGGGATTAGTTCGCCACGCCGATCACGAACGTGAATGGTGCGTCGATGGAAGTTCACCGGATAGTCTTCGCTTTGCAGCCACGACATGCCTAGGATCATATTGAACTTGGTGTGGAGTATGTCGAAAGACACGGCCTCGCATGCTAGAGGGCCAAAGTACACGGGCACCGAGTCAACGCATCGGTCGATTGACTTTTGCGTGTGACCATCGGCCAACGTGACGTGCGTAGGCTGACTTTTCCTTCGAACGCGCGGGCCAAGCCCGGCGCGTGTCATGAAGTCTTGGCTGATGTAATTGCGAGTCGCTCCACAATCGATCAAGGCACTGCAGGTCGCCTTTCCGATATGAATGCGGATGTAGAGGAGCGGCGTGTCGTTGTCGACGTACCGTTGCGTTGCGTACTCGCGGTCGATCTTCGCAAGATAGTTACAAAGATCAACAACCGCTACTCCGCCGTCCGTCGACGGAGGTGGTACTGCAGCGTGCAAGTATTCGCGCAGATGTGCCATTAAGGCATTGCAATGCGGAGTTGGCAAAGAACCGGTGGAGGGAAGAGACAACCATTGGAAGTCCTCAATCGTCAACGGATCGAGTTCCTCAAGACTCGCCCAAGTTGACGGATCCTCCGATAGAAGGGCTGGCGAAGCAACCGGTTCGTTGTCCGACGACGGAACTACCGCGCATGCGCTTGAATCTTGCACGTGGAGAGGCTGGTTCAACGGTGGGACCAGCTCGACATCATAGTTCTCAAACTCAACGTGAGAACTTGCAACTACCGCGGTGTCCCCGGATGTGAGAGAGGCTGCTAGCAAGGCAGCCGACTCCGGCGGGCTGGGAAATGCTGTCGCTGCACTTCCCGCGGTGCTCAGTTTCCCGAGCCCGGACGTTTGACATTCTCCTTGTCCTTGTCGAGGCAGGCGCTGGTGATGTGTTTGGTGCTGTTGCACCACACAAACAGCATGACCATTTCTGTCGCAACTTGAACATGTCTTCGCCAATGCCAAACTTTGTCCATGGTGCTTGTCGTGCTCCATCCGCCAACGCTGGTTTCGCCTTTTGTTTTCCCCCTCGGGGTCTCGAGCGTTGCGGTGGTATCGCTGCCGCCATATCTCCGTCACTTGATGTAGACGCGGGTGCGGGGTCCTCACTTGTCCCTTGCTGGACTGCTGCTACTTGCGGCATCCGTTGACCCTTGCCTTTATCCATGCAACCGGGCTGTTGGCGGGTCTCATTGGCCGCACGCCGGTGACCTTGGATAAGCTCTCTTGCCTTTGAGATCAGATCGTCAAAGGTCTCATATTGAAACTCGGTACCCAAGGCAGCAGTCAAGGCGTCGCATGACCGGGCGAAGAATTCTGCCCGGATTGCGCCGAATGGTAAGTTCAACTCCGGGGTGGCGACTAGTCTTTGCCACTCCGTCAGCCACTCCCGTGGCGTCTGCTGGCCTTGGTAAATGCGGAATATCTTGTTCATGGCGTGTCGTTTGTCGTTGTTGACCATGAATCGAGTCTTCCATGTCTTCTCGAATTCCTCCCACGTGATCTTCGTGTGGAGGTTGGCGATGGTGCATTCCATAGTGACGGCCATGTGTGTCATGAAAGCCTGCGCCCCTCCGATGAGTTGGAGGTAGAGTGCGTCAAGCCGCCGATGGGCGGGTGTATGATGTACATCCGCCTCTGCGTTGAAAGCCATCCACCATTGCAGCGGATCAATCTTGTGATAGTCGTCGAACTTCTCGATCTTGAAGTTCGGCATTTTCCATTCCTTGGCGGCAGCGGCCGGTCGTTGGTCAACGCGGTCGCTGAGCGTCTGCAGCTGATTGCTGACTGTCGACGCTCCAGCAAACTTGCTGATGTCACCGAGGGATGTGACCAAGTGGTTGATCCGCTCCTCGAGTTGCTTGGCCTGCGCGGCCAAAGCTGGGCTGCAGTCTACCGCTGCACTGCCTGTTGACGCAGCTGCCGACAGTTGTGCCCACCCCATGCTGACATTGGTCTGCAATTGGTGGTTGAGTGTCTGCTGCTGGCTGTTGGCGGCATGTCGTATGCTGTTCTCGGTCAGCAGGGTCGCGATCCTCTTGTCCATTGCCTTGTGTGTTGTTTCATGGCGGATGAGGACCTGCGGCATGGCGAGCAGTTCACGTTGCTGCCAATTGCATGTGTACAGCAGAGTCTCCATTAGAATTGCTGTCCCCTCCTTGTCCCTTTCTTCGTCGGTTGGCCGTTCTTGTCCTTCGGTCTCTTGGAAATGCTGTCGTCGAAGTAGCCTTGCGTACGTGGCTTCGTCGCGAGCAAGGTCCATCGTGGCTTGTTAACGAGCCTGGTTTTGACTTGCCTTGACCTGCTGCTGTTGCAACCGTGTGGCTGCTGCAGCTTCTGCTGCGGCCCGCTGACGTGCTGCCTCTGCCTCTGCCAGCTGGCGTTGCATTTCCTGCTGGCGGGCGGCTTCCTCCTCTTCCCACTTGCGCAGTTCAGCTGCCGTCGTCTCCGAATACTGCTGGAGACGTTCGAGGAATGCTAGAAGTGGTTCATCGGCCTGCTGAACTGGGATAGGAGGGGTAACCGGCCTCTTGGGGCTGGCTGGTGCATTGTTGTCAGCGGTAGCAGCCATGGGCGTGCGTGGCCTGCGCGGAATCCGAGGGGTCCTGAGTCCCTGTTGAGGCTTGGCTCCTGCGGATCCGCGCTGGGTCAGTCGTTGGCTGCGGCGCATCCAGATGTGTCACTGCTGATGTGGCACTTGCTGAGGTGGCACTCTGCCGACGTGTCACTGCTGAGGTGGCACTTTGCTGACGTGTCACTGCTGAGGTGGTACTCTGCTGACGTGTCACTGCTGAGGTGGTACTCTGCTGACGTGTCACTCTGCTGACATGTCACTGCTGAGGTGGCACTCTGCTGACGTGTCACTGCTGAGGTGGCACTCTGCTGACGTGTCACTGCTGAGGTGGCACTCTGCTGACGTGTCACTGCTGGGGTGGCACTCTGCTGACGTGTCCAGATGCTGGCAACCGTATACCGAGAGGAGAAGAGAGAAGGTAGGGTGTGGAGGAAGGGCAGAGAGGCGAACAATGCACAGACAGTCCCTTTCTCCCCTGACCTCGAAGTCTGACACTAATCAAAAAAAAAAAAATCCCCCCCACTGGACGAAAATTTCGAATTTTTGAGAAATTAAATAAAATTTTAATCAGAAAATAGGAATTAATAAATTTTAATTTCGGCAAAAGATTAAATATTTGATTAAAGAATATTTAAATTTGCTATAATGAATTTCGCAAAAATTAAATGTTTTAATCAAGAATATTTAAATTTGCACTAGGCTACCAGCCGGGCCGCCCGGGTCCCGGTGGCCAGGCCGTGCAAGGACCAGGGAAGGTCCCAGCAAAAAAAACATAATAATAAAAAAAATCAAAAAAATCAAAAAAATCCGAAAAAAAACTATGTTGTGGCAGTTATGCAGAAAAATAAACTGAACAACTTTTGCCTCAGGGTCACATCGAAATTCTGCACCAACTTTAGGGAATATATATATATATATTTCTATTTGACGATATATATTTTTTAATTGTTTTTGGCCCGGCCGGGCAAGTGACCCCGGGCCACTCTGGTAGCCTAGAATTTGCACCAATAAAAGAAGAAATGAATAAATTGAAGCAAGTTTAAACATTTAAACATAACTTCAAAAATTTTCACGAAATTTCATCGGAAGAATTTAGCATCATCACTAGGTTACCCATTTAGTAGAAGGTGAATGGTAGCAGGAAGATACACAATTTGCTGGAAAGATTCAACCTTTCAAAACGCAAAAAAAGATGCAATTTTGCAAAAAATGAAAGTTCCGTGAAGTTGCAGTTCGAATATGGCCGTGCTCAGGCCTGATCAGCTTTGATTGGCGCGGTGCCTGGCTGGCACTTAGTTCGCATAGATTAGATAGGTTGTTTAGATTAGGTTAGGACTAACCCTAATTAGCGCTAATTAGGTTGCTCGTAATTAGCGATCTCCTAATTGCACGATTGGATAAAAGTCGCAAACCTAAAATTATAATTTTAACGACCTAATTACTATGAAAGTACGAGAAAAGAAAAAAAAAATTGCAACTTGCGATTTAATGATAACAGAGTGCAGGTGTAGATAATCAATCAATCAATCAATCAATCAATCAATCAATTAATGGTGAGTCATCCACTGCCGGTCTGCTCCGACACCAAACTGTTGCATACTCGCGGAACATAGTCATAAGTATGGCGCAGATTCCCAGAACTGACCAGATAATACAGAGTTGATACAAATGCAAGCGGAAGACTTGAGATACCTTGGACGGACTCGGACCTGACTCGGACTGCAATCGAACACTCTCAAACATTCATCAGGGGTGTGAATGCCCTGGCCTCAGACATAGACGAAGGGNACATTCATCAGGGGTGTGAATGCCCTGGCCTCAGACATAGACGAAGGGCCAGGGACTGAGATCATCCACGGACGAAGGGAGAGAGGAGAGAGACGGAAGGAGGAGGAGAGGGAAGATTATGTCAACTCAATGTTTCCAAAGATAGTATCTTGATCTGTCAGAAGTGACGAAAATCCGAAATGTCGCGAATGCCAAGTCTCACAATATCTCAGTTATCGATCTCACAATGTCAAGTACATCTTCAGAAGGAAGATGAAATCAGATCCCAAGTAGTCCTCAACTCGTAGTCCCAATGTCGCTGTCTCAGATGTCATCAGAACTTGTAACCATCTCCCATACTCCAAGTAGTCCTGTAAGAGAAGTAGAAATAGACTGAGAAGGTAGGAGGAGAGAGAGAGAGAGAGGAGTGGTAGAGGAGAGGAGGGAGAGAAGGCGAAGCCTTCCTCCCTGGTACCTGTCTATGGCGCTGCAAGGGGGCTGGGCCGGTAACTGGCGAGGCGCCCAGTGCTGTGCTAAACCGCTCTCCGCTGAACCTTGCTCCCTTGCTGCTCCTCGCTGCTGCAGCGCTGCGCAATCGAGCTAACGCTCGGCTGCTGCGCTAATCCTGAAGACTAACCTCGTCCATACTAACCTCCCTATTGAGGCTGGTACCCAGCCTTTTGTAGTGCTGGGCCGGCCTCCTACCCGCTGGTACCTACCGGCCTGAACCGTTGATCTAGATTGACGGTCCAGTTTCAAAACTGGTTGGCGCCCAAAACTGTGGCAGCCTCTGCAGCACCGCCGGCAGGTCCTAGGCCAGATTGGTACTGGCCTTGTGGCCGTTTGGCCTGGGCCTGCCTGAACCGTCATGGTCCAGGCCCATCTGGGCCTCATCTGAACCATTGTCCCTTAGGCTTACCCTGCCTGTCTGGAACCGGGCCCTAACTGGGGCCCGTGTGGCTCAGGATGCCACATGCATCTAGATGGAAACCTAGACTAGGGGGATCCGCTTGTAGTCTCTGAGGCTCCTGTTCGGTCGAACTATGGCGAGCCTGCTGATTGACTAATGAATTGGGAACTTCCAAGGCAGATTACCATAAAAAATAGATAAGTTTTTAATCGTTTGTAATTTTTGTGAAAATTCACCGGTCTTGTTTGTTTTTCTGTTCGATCGCCGGCGAAATCCATCCATCCAAGCTCTTATCTAGACTGAACCCTTAGCTAATGGGAATTGAAAATTGACGATGGACCGGTGGGATTGAATTCATTATTTGCTCTAGCTTACTGAAACCATGAAAAACTTACTCCAAAAAAAAACAAACAAGGCCTGTGAACTTTTCACAAAAATTASAASCSWTTAAAAA